ATTTCCAGGCCTACCCAGCCCATGGACCTCATCTGATGGGCCTCCAGTCTCCAGAAAGATCTCCAGGCCTTCTTCCCACTCCTCCAAGGCTTCCCCGCCACATCGCTGATGTCCGGGCCTACACTGAGGCTCCAGCCAGACCTGACTTCAGAGCTCAGAGAGGGAGATCGGAGCTCCAACAAGAAAAGGCTTTGGAGCATGCTCCATTTCCTGCACGTGCCCAGTTGCTTCAAACTACAGAAGGACTACAAAAAGGAGCCAGACCTAAGCAATCGATCCCAGGCTTAGGGATCCCAATGCCATTCACAACAGGCTCTTTTCAGCCATTTGAACAACTCCCCATGCAGTTTAATGGCAATAATTTTGTAACTTTGCCAAATAATTTTGAAAAATTACATTTAAGTGGTCAGAATTTTAAAAAATGGTGTAAAGAGATTCAGATAATTCTCTTAAGAGAAAATACTCTGGACATGATCAAAAGACCACCCCCTTTACCTTGGAGCCCTGAAATTGAGTTCCTGCATAAAAGAGCTTACACAACCCTGTTAAGTTCTATAGACACAGCTCTGTATGCCAGTCTTTCAGACGGCCTCACAGCTCAGGAAGTTTGGACTGCCCTATATAATTTGTTCTATAGTGACAATATGGCTGCAACCAGCAGATTGTCAAGAATTTTCCACAACTATAAACTCAAACCTGGTGTCAAAATGGGGGAACATTTGGCAACGCTTAAAGCCATGAGGGATGAGCTTATACAGAGGGGGGAGCCTGTTTCTGAATCCAGTTTAATTAGTGTGATGTTGAACTCCCTAAACAAATCCTGGAGTCCCTTTATTATTTCTCTAGAAGGGGTTTCTAGGGAACAAAGAAATATAGAATACTTTTCTGGCCGCTTTATTGAGGAAGATTTAAGACGCAGAGATGAGGAACAACAAGAAATGAAGGAGGCATATCACAGACCTAGGCCTCAGAGGAGGCGCCAGGACACAAGTGAAAGGATTAATACCCTTCCCACCTGCTTTGACTGTGGCATACAAGGTCACTTTAAAAGGGAGTGCCCTCGCTCTAGGGCCAACACGGCTGGACTTAAGCACAGTAAAAATAAAAGAGGCCGTGGAAGAGGGGGAGGTGGTCATAAAGGATACCAATACTGTAGTGTCACTAGTGACAACCACACCTCCCAGATAAAGGATGCTGAGGGGCTGTGGCTTCTTGATTCAGGTGCATCAATGCATATAGCCAACACAAACCAACAATTTAAGGTTTTACACCCACTCAAGTCCTCAGTAAAAGTTGCCACTGGGGACAAGGCAGAGGTAACTGGGGAAGGCGTGATCAATGTGCCTGGTATAGGAGATGTCACTGGGGCACTGTATGTTCCCTCAATCAAGAACAACCTTTTAAGCATCTTAAAATTGACTGAGGATAAAAATGTAAAACTGGTTTTTGAGAAGGGTGGAGGTTATGTTTTCGAAAATGGGTGTGTTGTTGGCGATATTGTAAAAATCAACAATTTGCCTTATTTTTCCCCAAAAGCACAGGTCAAAAGGCACAAGAAACCTAACAAGAGGGCTCAGGGAGCTAACGCCCAGATAGAGCAGAAAGCTTCTATGCCAGCCCCCAGGTTGTCCAAACTCAAGGACCCTGGACCTAAAACCAATGAAGCTTTTAAACCAGCTCCTAGGACATCCAAAGCCATTAAGGCTGAGCTCATTAAGGTCACAACTCCTCAGCCAACCCTGAGGAACTCTAAGGTGACCATTAATCCAGTGCCTACTCTCATTACTGAACAGACCAAGGCTTGTAATGGTAAGATACATAAGGTTGACAAAGTATGCATGGGTAAACCTTTACATTTGGATTGTGCTCATATATTACACCGCAGGCTCGGCCATGCCAGCTTCCCGGTTATTAAGAAAATGCAAGATTTTTCTGATGGGCTTAAGATAAAGAATTGTAATACCTATTTGGAATGTGCCATCTGTAAGGCAGCAAAATCTAAAACTGCTGCTATACCTAAGGTCTCTTCCCGTCGTGCAAGGTACCCTTATCAGCTGGTACACATGGATTTGGTTGGTCCTTTTAGACCCTCCCTTGGTAGGGGGCGTTATTTTTTAACGGTAGTAGATGATTACTCTCGTTATGGCCATGTATTTATTTTAAAGGACAAAACTGAAGTCTTTACCAACTTCAAATATCTTTACAACCAGATCCAAACGCAACACAAGGTGTGCATCGCTCAGGTGCAGAGTGATAGGGGGACTGAGTTTACATCCAAGATTTTTGAAAAGTGGATGAAGGAGAGAGGTATCCTCCATTTTAAATCATCTCCTCGAACTCCGTCCGAGAATGGTATTGTAGAAAGGAGAAATGGCGTGCTGCAGAATGTCATGAACTGCCTACTTGCAGATGCTGACATGAGCCAAGTTTTTTGGGCAGAAGCGGTCAAAATGGCTAATTATCTAGTCAACAGGACGTGGAGTAGTGCCATTAACCAAACCCCATACTTCCTGGTCCATGGAAGGAAACCTAGCCTCTCACACCTGAGAATTTTTGGTTCCTATGCCTGGGTCCATATTCCCAAGCACCTCAGAAGAAAGGGGGACAAGGCATCAAGGAGGCTCAGATTTATAGGTTATGCAACCGGCAGCAAGGCCTCTAGGTTTGTAAATAAAAATAACCTTGTCATTGTCTCTAGATCAGCTTCCTTTGAGGAGGGGTCAAATTGGTCAAAAATTCATTCCAATGAACCCGGTTATTCCCCTATTAGAAGCGACACTGAACAAGCAGCACCACCTGAAGAGGATGAACCAACAAACTCCAAGCAACTGACCAGCGAAGATCCAGATGGTGATGAATCCCTACCTGACTCTGACGATTCAGACAAGGAATCCCTGGGTGACTTCACACCTCCTGCCTCACCTAAACGACCATATCTTCGCAGCGCCTGGGACAGAGGCCCGCCCCATTTTGATTGGAAAGATACCTCCGGCAGCTCCAATTCTGACATCGATGCTCTGGATGACAATGATGATGGTGAGTGGCAATTTCCCAGATGGTCAAAACGCTCCAATAAAGGGGTGCCACCCAAAAGGTTGGACATTGGCTGTGTTGCCTTGGTCAACAGCGTTACCATGGCCCCTAAAACATACTCAGATGTCCTCCAGCTTCCCGAGGAAGAACAGCGCAGGTGGAGGGTGGCAATGGAGCGGGAAATGGACAGTCTCAAAAAATTGAAAGTCTTCATCCCCATGGAAGTCCCCAAAAAGAGGAAAGCAATTGGCACCCGTTGGGTCTACAAGGTCAAGCCAATGCCCAACAACAAACTCCTCTATAAGGCCCGGCTGGTAGCACAAGGCTACGCACAGCGCTACTTGCAGGACTTTGATGAAACATACTCCCCCACCGTGAGAGCGGAAAGTGTGAGGGCTGCTTTGGTCACTGCAGCAGCACATGGGGAACACATTTTTCAATTTGATGTGCAAACTGCTTATTTACATGCACATCTAAAACAAGAAATTTACGTCAGAGGTGCCCCCGGATTTCAACGGCAGGAAGGCCACACCTGGCTTCTGAAGAAAAGTTTGTACGGCCTCAAACAATCAGGCAGACTATGGTACAAATGCCTGACTAAAACTCTCAAATCACTGGGTTTCCATCCATCTCCAGCTGATAAATGTACCTTCACAAGGGATACCAAAGGGGGGCTGGAGAAAGTCCTAGTGTATGTCGATGACCTTTTATATATAGGGCCTGACAAGGGGGGGAAGTATTATATTTGCCAGGACCCTACAAAAAAAGTTCACTCTAAAGTCTTTAGGATATGTGGACAAGTACCTAGGCGTACAAATCATCACTACACCAAAAGGTTTTGCTCTCTCCCAAAAGGAAAAGATAGAGGAACTCTTGGTGAAATGTAAAATGGAAGATAGCAAGCCAACGGCTATCCCAATGCAGACCGACTATTATGGATTGGCACACAAGGATAGCCCAGAGTTCCAAAATAATACTCTATTTAGGTCAGTGATCGGCTCATTACTATATATAAGTAACTGGAGCCGTCCAGATATTGCCCTGGCTGTAAACCTGCTATCTAGACAAGTGGAACATCCTACCCAGTTCCACTGGTTGGCCATTAAAAAGCTATTAAGGTATCTCAAGACCACAGCAGATTACGTGCTTCGCTTGGAACCTGAGAATAGAGACAAGGCCCAATAAAAATGCTTCGTGGATGCGGACTGGGCCGGAGATACCAAGACACGTAGGAGTACTTCGGGCTTCTTGGTACTATTAAATGAGGCACCCATCCATTGGCATGTGGGGCAACAGAAATTTGTTTCGTGCTCCACCGCTGAGGCTGAATATGCATGCTTATCAGAGGCAGGGAACGACCTGATATGGTTTGATGCCTTAATTTCTAGCATCTGGACACCACCGACTTTGCCCATCCAAATTATAGAAGACAACACCGGGGCCATAGGCATTGTCAAAGCCTATGCGGTGGGAAAAAGGTCCAGACATATTGATATCCGCTATCAAAATGTTAGGCAACTAGTAGAGATGGGGTTTATATCTTTATCACATTGTCAGACCAAATATCAAACAGCTGATATTTTCACAAAACCTCTACCAGCAGATAGGCACAAAGATCTGTGTAAAAAGTTATGTCTCACATGGTAAAATTTGTTGTGCATTGCATTTGTATGTTTGCATGCCATTGGCTCGCAAGGAGGGGAACTGTCAAGTATTTGCAAGCCATTGGCACATATATCATACAGACACTAGCGGAGGCAGAAAGTGCCCCCACCCCTATGTGGAGAGGAGGGGCTTACACTGAGTATAAAACCCCCTCTAACCTCTCCACCATGCTCTCTTTTACGTTTGTTCTCCATGAGACATGATCTTTGATAGGGGTGGTCACACACGCTGTGTGCCCCCTATCCTAATGGATATTAAGACAGCCTTTGTATATAGTTAATATGTTTTGTTATATGAATAAATACATTTATCACATTTATTCATGCATCTGCCTTTGGATTCTTCTATGCTCCTGGGTGTTTCTACGATCCCAATTTCCACAGGGCATGGGCGCGGTCACTGCACTGCTTTAAAAAGCGCTGACAAAACCTAACATTCAGCGCTGACTTTGTTACATCCGTACTTGGCTTTTCCTTCATACCCGACCATTGCAGATTAAAGATTGTTTGGCTAAACTCTGTTTTTCCGTTTGGTGAGTCATCTGAAGAGCCACCCAGCCGCAGATCAGAAGAGCCGAGAGTGCCTGAACTCCAGAGTGCAAAGATCTCCTCAGCTGCTCCTCTGCAGAAAACCTTGGGCGTGCTCCTGGAACCTCAACCTCAGTTGGTGCAGTCCCAGAGATAGCCCCAAAAGCTAGAGGCGTCATAGGAGAGCCCACCCCATTTACAACAGATGGGGAGCGGGTCATGGACATCGAGGGTGTATTAATACGGGCCGCTGTTGCACGTTGGGCAAGGAATAACTGAAAATCAGTTCCAAAAAATGTAGTTAACGTTTCAATTCCACTTGTGATCTCAGATTCGGGAGGTGAACTTCTTATATTCAAAGCTGTGGCCACCTAACCATATTGGTCGCCTGGGTAAAAGCCTGCCCAGGCAGCATTGGTGGCATCCCTGATGCAGCTGGAACTAACGATGGTGTAGTCGTTGGAGGGATAAAACTTCCGGCTGGCTGATTTAAAACAGTTTGAGCAGTAGGTGGTGCCATAATGTTTGGCAGGAAATTTAAAATGGGCAGTCTATTGTTTCCTACTCCCAATCTGCAGCCAGCAAGGGGGGTTACGGGGGAAGGTTGAATATCCCTTACCGGTCTGGCGTTGTTCTGGGTTTCAATCCTGTCCCTTGCTATCACCGGCGTAGTTGCTGCTTGCATCAAAACACTGAAATCAGCAATCGGATTCTCACAGCTCTTTTGCTCCATTGAAGTGACTTCAGCCTTGGAGGCTCTGTGGCATATGCAAGTCTCTGTCTCTCTCTTCGTCTGTGTGAGCCTGTCTCTGTGTCTTTGCTTTGGGCTGGGAAAGCCCTCCCTTATATACTTCAAGAATGTCCGTTGGAAAAAACTTGAAATCAAATACTGCGGCATGATTGGCCAGTTCAAACTTACAAGCTGATAACCAATCAATAGTTACAGCTAATCCTGAGACAACTTATCTCTCACAGTTAGAAGGAGAACTCTTGAAATTTGTAGCTGGATGTTAGGGATGCTTATTATCACTCCTATTGGTCTCCAGGAAGGAGTGTTTGTTCTTAGCAAATTTCAATTAATTCCACCCAAACCCATGACAAGATGAATTAAATGGCCTTCTGTTCAGTCTACTTTCCACTGTGGGATGGTGGTACAAAGGTCTGACAGCCCAGCAGGCAGAGTGCTACAGCAGTCTCACATGTGATCGTGTCATAGCCAAGATCCCCTCTGCTGAATGACTGGGGCTCTGGCCAAGCTAAGCACCGGATATGGGGCAGCAGTGTGATGTTGGGACCAGAGCAAGACCCAAAGCTGTCACTCCTGCTGCCCTGGGAGATGTTCAGACTGCTGACTGTTCCGTACCCTGCAGATTTATTTAGGATTAAACTACAGCACATTTTGCCATTAAAGATGAAAATGCAAAATAGAATGTTGGTTTAAGTGTCCTCTGTTTTAGTGGTTTGGATCCTTGTGGTTCAGTTCTTTTTCATCAACCTTGTTATTGAGGTTTATGGTTGAATTCAGCATAAATGATTAAGAAATACCTTTGATATCAATGAGATGGAATGATTTGGCTGAATGCCAATTGATTTCAGAGGATTTGTCCCAAGAATGTCTTGCTCTGAAAGACAATAAATAAATGTTTAACACATTATCTTATATTGTAATAAATTCTGTCACATACAAGAGGTCATTTGATTAAAGATTTACAGTGTTCTTTCTTTTAGAACTCTTCAGTTGGTAAGCCTATATGAGTCTTACCTCATATAGGCTTGACATTTATATTTGATTATTTAAATGGTGAGAAAATAATCTCAAATGTTTTTGCTTACGGTTCGGAGATGCTGAACCAAATATTAGCTCTAGCAATAACTGTTAGCCCTTTTCATCCTTTGGAAACCCAAAATTTTTTTTCAATAGTTCTCCAAGGCAAAAGGTCCAATAAGAAATGCCCTCCCTTAGAACTGGGGGGGTGAGCAGCAATATTTTTCCTTCCCTTCTCCTGGAAGCCAATGGCTGGTAGGGCCAATGCAGGGAGGCCCTGGAAGCTGGTCCCACTGTTTAACAGAAGGGATTGGTCACCAAAAAGCACCACCCCACAACCGTTTCTTCCCTCCGGCCTTTCTTTTTTCTTGCTGTCACAGTGCAGCAGCCCTCTTCTTCTGTCAGCACCAAGGCAGCCAATCTGGAGGACTGGTTCAGTCTGAACTGAAAATCAGGCACAATCAGGGCTATTTACCTGCTACCAAGACGAAAGGCCTTCCTGGGAAGCTGCTTTCCATAATTGCCAGGGCTGGGGCTCCCTCCTTCCCCACAGCTCCTGCCTCAGTGTGGAATAGCTTAATTCCACTGCCAGATGCTCATTAAGGTCAATTGTAGGCTATGCTCTCATTACCTGAATTACCTCCAGGTGACAGATTTTAAGAAGGCAATTCATACTTTCCATTTAGCATCTTGAACTTCAGGAGCAATTTCTATGACAGGCTTGTTTTGGCAGAAACAGTCTCTTGCAGCATCTGATTGTTATTCTTTGGCAACCTTGAAAAGCACGGGTGGATTTGCAAAGCTCTTCAAGACTCACTGGAAACTGTTTTCTAGAGCCACTGGGCTGATATTAAGCATTATTTCATTTTTCATTTTATTAAATTTATATACTGCCCTACTCCCGAAGGACTCAGGGCGGTGAACAGCCAGAAAGATAAAACACACAAACTACAAAATTTAAAAGACAATATAAAAACCCATTAAATAATTTGGCCCAAAACAATTTAAAATACCCCTAATGTTTTAAAACCAATTTTAAAAATTACAATTAAAAGGGAAGTTAGGCCAGGCCAGCCTGTTGAAATAAATAGGTCTTGAGGGCAAGGCGGAAGGTGCGTAAATCCGGGATCCTCTATATCTCTGGGGGAGCTCATTCCAGATAGCAGGTGCCCCCACAGAAAAGGCTCTCCCCCTGGGGGCCACCAGTCGACACTGTTTAGCCGACGGCACCCTGAGGAGCCCCTCTCTATGTGAGCGTACTGGCCGGTGAGAGGCTACTGGTGGCAGAAGGCGGTCCCATAAGTATCCTGGTCCTAAGCCATGGAGCGCTCTAAAGGTGGTAACCAAAACCTTGAAGCGCACCCGGAAGACCACCGGGAGCCAGTGCAGCTCATGCAGGAGAGGTGTCACATGGGAATGCCACATCGCTCCCATAACCACCCGCGCGGCCGCACTTTGAACCAGCTGGAGCCTCCGGGTGCTCCTCAAGGGGAGCCCCATGTAGAGACCATTACAGTAATCCAGGCGGGAAGTGACAAGGGCATGAGTGACCGTGTGTAAGGAGTCCCGATCCAGAAAGGGACGCAACTGGCATATCAGGCGGACCTGATAGAAATTCCTCGTGGCCACAGCTGTCAAGTGCTCTTCTAAAGACAGCCGTGAATCCAGGAGGACGCCCAAATTGCGAGTGTCAGCATTTCAAGCTGCATTTACTCTAGTGCTGACATAAGAAGGAGAAGCGGAGGCATCTGGAAAGGGACGTTTGACTTTTCACCTACTTATTTTCCCTGGAGATGGATGGGAGGGGGGAAATTCCTTTGAGCTGAAGCAGTAGATTAGGGGTAGAGTGATTTGGAAGATGGCCAATGAGTACAGAGGTGTGGGGAAAGGAAAAGGAGGGTTTTGGGTCAGGAAGTCAGTGTTGGCTACGATGAAGTCGGAGTTAGAATGTCGTGCTTAATAAATGAGAGTTTTCATCAAAGACTTTGTTTGAAATGCAATTTATTTGAGATGACCTCGAAACCCGACAATGAGCCCTCTCCGTGGGGGCCAATGACTCGCCCCCAATAGTCAGTGATGGCACCAATTGACTCTATCGGGACGCCGGAAGCCACAGCCACTCAGTCTTGGATGGGTTGAGCCTGAGTCTGTTTCTCCTCATCCAGATCCGCATGGCCTCCAGGCACCGGGACATCACTTCAAGGGCATCATGGGGGTGGTCCAGGGTGGAGATGTACAGCTGAGTATCATCAGCGTACTGATGGTACTTCACCCTGAAACCACGGATGATCTCGCCCAGTGGCTTCACATAAATGTTGAACAGAAAGGGCGAGAGGACTGACCCCTGTGGCACCCCACATATAAGGCGCCTCGGGGTCGACTTCTGCCCCCCCCGCCAACACAGACTGTGACCGGTCGGAGAGAAAGGAGGAGAACCACCGCAGCACGGTGCCCCCCCACCCCAAACTCTTCCAACCAGTACAGCATGATACCATGGTCGATGGTATCAAAAGCCGCTGAGAAATCTAATAAGACCAGGACAGAGGAACAACCCCTGTCCCGAGCCCTACAGAGATCATCAACCAATGCGACCAATGCCGTTTCCATGCTGTACCCAGGCCTGAAGCCCGACTGGAATGGATCCAGATAAACCATTTCATTCAGGTACTGGGGAAGCTGTCGCGCCACCACACTCTCAACAACCTTCACCACAAAGCGAAGGTTGGAGACTGGACAATAGTTTGCTAACACTGCCAGGTCCAGGGAAGGCTTCTTGAGGAGAGGCCTCACCACCGCCTCTTTCAAGACACAATTACTTGTGTCTGTAAACAAAACTGCAATATTTTATAGGAAATCAAGAGTTAACTCACCAAAGAATTTTGTTACTGCTTTGAGAAATATTCTTTTAAAGCTTAAACATGCTTTGTTTTGAGTTATGGATTATTTTAACATCTCTGTGTCTAAAGATGGACTCACAAAATATTTTTGAGGTAGCATTTTCAGGAGCCAAGGCAGAAGTGAAGAACAGAAGTGAAGGATGTGGGTGGTGAATTACTGATCTGGGCTTTGCCTGTGTGGCAACAAAGGCTGAGGTCATCAAGTAAGGCCCTGTCCTGAGGAGTTACTGTGGGCCACTAAAGCAGGTTCAGACAACTGAGAACATCAGAAGCCTAGGAGAGTCCATAAAACACTCCCTACCACCTGAAACTGTGGTTGACTTTATTTTCCATCCAATTAAGAATGGTGTCAAGTTTCTGAAAGATGCCCTAATTAATTCATGAGCCATGATCCAAACTTCAAAGGAAATGTATTCATTTATTAGGAGCACCATTCCGGCAATACTCGGATGCAGTCAGGACTGATCCCACGTAGATTTACGTTCCCCTATGACCCTGTCTCTCCCCTCCGCCCTGGCCATGTCATAAATCACATTCTCCAATTAACCACTTTGGCTGGCTGTGAAACCTAACACCCTCCTTCTGATTGCGATCAGAAAAATGTATGGAATTCACTTCAGTTCTCCCTCCCTCCTGCTCATGGCAACTTGAAAGCTTTGCAAGTTGACAAATGGTACATTTCAGAATGTGAAACTAAACTTGTGACGACCCAGGGTGTGACACAAAGGCAACACAGCAAGAGAACTGATATAAGTCCCTTTATTATCACCAACTGTGCCCCCAATGTCCCTTTCAACTCTCCAGCCTGGAGAGAGCTCTTCCACCAACCTGTAATAGTCTTTGGCTGGCAATACTTCAGCCCCAAACATTGTAACCAGAAAACTTCTAACAAAAAATCCAAAGGCAAGACAAGGTAATTAATCTGGCAGGGCAAGCAAAATAAGGAATTCCACAAGTAAAGTAGCACGGCAATAAATCAAACCAGTTGGGAGGATGTCATGATTCCAAGAAACACCAGATAAACTCAGTGTTTGTTCCTGACAAATGCCTCTCCCATTTGCCTCTACTTTTAAACTCCATCAGCACCTGTGCCTTGTAAAGAGGATCGGGACCCTTTCCTCTCTTGTAAGCCACACAACCCACATTGCTCTCTTCTCCATTCCTCCCCGTGCTGCCTAGGATGAGGAGGGGGTGGGCCTTAGTTTTCATCTGAACCCCCTCTCCCTTGTTCTACCTCTCCCCTGCTCTGCCCAGCCTGACTTTGCTCTTCCCCATTTTTCCACAGCCAATGGACACACTCTCTCACTCTCTGTCAGCCATTCCTCTTCCCCTTCGGATTCAGACTCTGACCGGGGCATAACAAAACTGAAGCCACCATAATGAAGATGAAACAGAGAGATCAAAATACTGGTCTGGAGGCTAAACCATACAATGAACATTGTAAGTATAATCATATATCAAAGAGAAGGGCTAGGGGTGACATGTTTACAGTCTTCCAATATCTAAAGAGCTCAAGGTTGACTGAGCCTTCAATCCTTCTGAGTTCAATAAAATGAGGATCCAGATTGTTGGGGGCAATAGGCTGACTTTGTAAACCTCTTAGGCAGGGGTGAAATCCTACCAGTTTGGACTGGTTTGGGTGAATCGGTAGGGATGATTGGCATCGGTTTGCTGAACTGATACCAATAAACCCTGGTGCTGTTGTGGTCTGCCATCAGCCTGCAGAGCTGGCAGGAGAGTCGGCGGACAGCGATGAGGCTGAGAAAGAACATGGGCCAGTCCTGGAGGCTGGGGAAGGCCCACATGAGGGCTCTGCATCGGAGGCAGAGATGGGGCCAGGGCTATCAGAGAGTGATGTGTGGACTTTGGAGCCTCCAGAGGCTGACAGTAGAGGCAGAACAGGAGGAGCCTGTTCCTAGTGCACATATGAGAAGAGCTGCCAGAAGGCAGGAGCAGCTAAAGCAGAGAGGACGACTTGGGAGTAGGGCCAGGAGATGATTGGCCTCTCCCATAAGGCTTAAAAGACCAGCAACAGCTCTTGGCCTCTTTGCTGGAAAACAACTGTTGAGAGATTTGCTTCATGTTTGGCTGTATTTCTTTCTTGTCAGCATCTTCTGTTCCTGAACTGTTGCCAAGAAAAGTCTTTGGCAGTTTGCCTAATTATCCCAAGGTCAGAGATAAACTGAAGAATGGTGTTTTTTTTTATTATTATTATATAATTTTTATTAATATATTCTATACACTAATACACAAATAAAATATACAATCCTGCCACCATGGTATAATATGATTACATTGTCCATAAGTATAAAATCATTCCTTTATACATACATATTTGCCACCATATATATATACATCATCATATATCTATTCTATCCCACCTTTTCTGGACCCAATTGTACCATACTTTCCAACTGTTATAAAATTCTGAATCTTTTTTACCATTGATCAATCTAGTTAGTCTATCTGATTCCGCACACTCATTAATTTTATATATTATTTTCAAATATATTGGTAAGTATTGATTTTTCCACTCCTGCGCATACGCTAATCTTGCTGCAGTGATAATGTGAATCAACAAGAACCATATATCTGATTTAACATTCAAAGGTTTTGCCCCCAATAGGAAAATCTCAGGTCTTAATTCCAAATTAATCTGTGTAATTTCCAAAATCCATTGCCATATTTTTTTCCAATATTTAACCGCCTGCGGGCAGGTCCACCATTGGTGAAAATAGGTTCCATTGCTGTAACCGCACTTCCAACAGCAGGCAGATGTCCCAGGAAACATTTTAGCTAATCTCGCCGGGGGTAGATGCCACCGGTAGACCATTTTATATATGTTTTCTTTATATGAGGAGGCCATGGTTAATTTCATATTTTTCAACCAAATCTGTTCCCATTGCTGGAAGTCAAGGGGATATCCAAAATTTCGCCCCCATGCTATCATACAATCCTTCACTACATCCTGTCCTATCTGCAGAGACAATAAATATGCATAACATTTAGATAATATCCCTTTCCCTCCTTCTAATAAGATCTTATCCAATTCTTGTCTTTTACGGTAGATTCCTTCACTATGTAAATCTTTTTTATACCTGAAGAATGGTGTTTTGAGGACTTTGTTTTCATTTAATTTGGAATACACTGAGAATGAGTTAATTCTCAGTTGTTTTAATAAAATCTGTTTGTTTTTTGGAACTGTTTTGCATTTAATACTAACTACGTGGGCCTGAGTCATAACAGTTTGTTTTCCAGCCTAATGAGGATAATTAGTAACAAACCTCGATCATGATGGAGCAGTTCCGTGCCGAAAACGCGCAGCTTCAGCAGCAAGTAGCTTTGTTAGATGCTCAGATGGCTCAGCTCCAAGCTCCAGCTTCTCCCCCTCCCCATAGAAGATGTCATGTTGCTATGCCAGACAAGTTTGTTGGCACTCAAGCCATGTTTCCTGCTTTTATGGGACAATGCCAGCTTTTTATCAGCCTGCGAACAGAGGACTTCCCCACTGACCAGGATAAAGTGGGGTTTATATTCAGCCTGCTCTCCAACTCTGCAGCTCACTGGGCCACACCCCTGCTGGTCCAGGCTAGTTCTCTGTTGGACGATTTCAGGGGGTTTTGTGAGCATCTCTGACTCATGTATGAGGACCCCATCAAGATGCAGACAGCTACCAGATGACTGAAGACCTTGAAGCAGGGCCGGAAACTGCTGCATATTCCTGATATATTCAGGAATTCCTGAGATATTCAGTTTTGGCTGCTTAGCCAGGATTCGGCCTGGAATGAGGTGGCCCTCATGGACATGTTCCAGGATGGCTTATCAGAGGAGTTGTAGGATGAGCTGGTCCAGGTTGATACCCCTCCAACCCTCAACGCACTGGTACATCTGTGCCTTAGGATCGACGCCTGGTTGCAGATAAGGACCAGTCGCCATGCCTGTCAGGAGACCCATGTGGTTCCAGTCCAGCATGAGACCCTGGTTCCATGGGAAGAGCCCATGGAAATAGGTGCAGCCAGACCCTGTCTGTTGGTGGTTGAGAAAAATAGATGATGATCAGGGGGGTTGTGTTTGTATTGTGGGGAACCCAGGCACATGGTGGCCTCTTGCCCAAAGAAGCGATGAGGGGAGTCAGCTCCTGGGCCTGCCCCAAAGCCACAGAAAACCCTGTCGGGAAATGCCCTGAGCCCAATCTAGGGGAGACCCTGTGTTGAGTGCACACCAATACCAAGGCACATCCAGTGGACGTGGAGCCCGGACCCCCCCCAGCATTTGATTTTGGTGGCAAAAGTCTTCTTGGCCAATAGTCTGCAGTGGATTCTGGCTCATGCCTTGGTGGACTCTGGAGCTATAGTTAATTTTATGGACACGGTGTTTGTAGCCAAATATGCAGTCCCCCAGTGTCCATTCGATCCTCCAATCCCCGTGGAGACCATTGATGGCTGGGTGCTTCTGTCTGGGCCCATTACAGCCGTCACACAACCGTTGTGCCTGACCATCGGGTCTCATGTGGAAGCCATTCAGTTTTATATTACCTCCAGCCTGCATTTTCCCATGGTTTTGGGCTTGGCTTGGCTCTGGTCACATGACCCGCAGATCTACTGTCCCAGAATTTCATCTCTTTTCTGGCTGCAATGTGTGGACCACACCCGCCAAGTCTGCGCAGGCCAGCTGCTGGGTCTAACCAGTGTCAACCGACCTCAAGGATTTTGCGGATGTTTTCAGCAAGCAGGAGGTGAACCAATTGCCACCACACCGGCCATATGACTTCCCCATTGATTTGATTATGGATGCGTCACTCCCAGTGAGATGTTTATATTCGATGTTGGACCCTGAGTTGGCCGCATTATGGGACTTTGTGGATAAGAACCTGGCTTGGGGTTTTATCCAACCATCATCGTCCCCATTGTCCGCCCTGGTCCTATTTGTGAAAAAGACCGGAGATTTGTGGCTTTGTTGCAACTACCGCAAGCTAAACACAATCATGGTGCGCAAACGGTATCCTCTGCCCCTTATTCCCGAACTTTTGGAATGGCTTTGGGAAGCTACCGTGTTCACTAAATTGGACTTGCAAGGGGCTTATAATCTTGTTTAGATCTGTCCCCAGGATGAATGGAAGACAGTGTTCGGC